CATTTATTTTAAACCATTTTATTGACAAAAAAAAAAACACCTTGTAGATCTAAAATAAACTCATTCTTTCCTTTAAAAATCCTAAAAAGATCCAAAAAATACAATAAAAAAAATCCATCTACAATTTCAGGTAACCTCACGGTGAAACAATGAAATATCATCCTAGTAGAATTATCCTATATCAATACTAATTATTTTAATGGTTAAAATTGATATTAACCGACATTTTCTTTATCTATACTTGATTTTCTCTCTCAACCTTTTCCTAGCGAATTAAGAGCAAATGGTCTCAATGACTTCACAAGGATCCAGTCATAAAAATAATGGTTTGATGAACAAAATGATAAAAAAGAGCAACTATTCAAATCCAAGGTGAAAATAAAAGAGGATGGACGGTTTTTGTCTTGGATAGTAAAAGTATGAGCTCCTTTATTTGCTTCTGCAGTTGTGATTTGTCATTATAATGTAATTGTTCAAACTAGAGAAAGATGTTTTGGATAGAGGGAGTTGAGGAAATTGGAGTGAAGGGAGAAAGCACTGTTTATTTTGAAGGAGACAAACATGATCTTAGGGTCCATTACACGACAAGGGTAAATGACTTTCCACAACGTGGTACAACTCTTTTTATTTTTTAAATTTTACTTTGTCTATTTATTTGTTCAGATAGCTATTTATTCTATTTTCGATGCCTCCAAAACACCTTTAAATAGAGGGATAAATATTTAATTTTGAATAAAAAAACTCATTATCAATCTAAATTGAGTATTAATCTATTCAATTCAAGAGAAAAAAACCCACGCCAGCATCTCGATTAAATTTCAAACATGAATTGAAGATAAACTTTCATCAACAGACTATTAACTTATTTCTCATAATAAAATGATTAATCAATTTACCTTTTGAAGTAAAATAAAAACTAATTTATATTCAATTTAAAAAAGAATCTGGATATTTGGCATACCTTTTGACCATAATAATTAAATCCTCATTGGTCGTGGTGTTGCTCAAGATTTAAGTTATATATTAAAATTTTAAACCAGATTAATTTGAATATTTTTTTTAAATTTTTTTAAACTAAGACCGAGTCTACCACAGGGTGTGGATTAATCTAGTTAATTTTGAACTAGCTTTTCTTTAACATCCAACTCTAAACCAGGGATGAGTCGGCAGGGCGTCGGGTCAGTCAGCCGATCATTAATGTTCTTTGAATTATATTTTATTAAATGGACCCACCGGTCAGCTGAGTAGCTTACTCACTAAGCAAAAAGATATATACGAGAGCCACGCGTCTCAAGGATGACCTCGTAAAGACACGCGTCGAAATCTCCCTCCTCCATATCATAGGAACCTAGCCAGGAAGATCACTTTAAAAGCTTAGAGCAGAGGAAGAGTCCAACACCAAGACAAGAAGTCCCCACAAATATATAAATACGAAGCCCATGATCTCCCCTTCCTTCATCTCTCCATTACTCACACTAGCTGTTGTACTTACCGTTACAATCACCCCTCTAATTTCTGCCTCTGGAGGATTCTGTCAGGAGAAAATGGCCACTCTCGGCGGCGTTCACGACTCGCAGAGCTCCCAAAATAGCGTCGAGATCGACAGCCTCGCTCGCTTCGCTGTCGATGAACACAACAAGAAAGAGGTAAAAACCATGAGCATGACATTAAATTTGTTGGTTTTTCTTTTTAGATTTGAAAATGATGGAGTCTTTTTGTTTTTTCGGTGAAGAATGCGATATTGGAGTTTGCGAGGGTGGTGAAGGCGAAAGAGCAAGTGGTTGCGGGGACAATGCATCATCTTACGATTGAAGCGATTGAAGCGGGGAAGAAGAAGCTTTATGAAGCCAAAGTCTGGGTTAAGCCGTGGCTTAACTTCAAGGAGTTGCACGAGTTCAAGGATGCCGGTGATGTTCCTGTGTTTACCTCCTCTGATCTCGGTGTCAAGAGAGGTTGATTACCATAATTTCCCAGTTAGTAGAACAACGTTGAAATCAATCCAAGTGTGTTTTGGTTTTTAATAATCTGTCTGGGCTATCAAGATTTTGTTAATTTATCATCGTGTGTTTTAATTTTAAGTGTTTGAAAGGTTGTATTGCATGTTATTTCAATAATCCTTTTTGGGTTTTAATCTGGGAAGCTCATTGTTTGTGTTGTTTTCATGTTTTAGAGCATAGGCAATGGTTGTGTAATTTACAATCTTTGTAATTTACTAGCATTGATTAAGTTATTTTGTAGCTGAAGAGGGTAGTGGGGTTCTTACATTTCTCATGGAGAATTACTAGAAGAGTGAGTGAATGTGGTTTAGAGAAGAATAATGAGGGCTTTATGTCTCGTTGTTGGTTTTATATACAGAGTGGTGGTACCTGTTCTAGGAATTTGAATTGAATCTAAATTTTAAAATCATGGTTAAATTTAGGTCCAAATCTATCAAGAGGAAATTTGTGGAGAAAGAATCTTACTAGTTACAGTTTTGTGGGTCTTTTAGTTTATGGATGCGAGCATATTGTGAGGTGATTTTATTTTATGATGGCGGGGCAGGTTGTTTGCATTATGTTACTACTTGTGTTCGTTGCAAACTTCCAAATGTTTCAATAACCCTGTTGATTCCATAGGGCACGTTGGATTCAAACACAAAGCTTTAGAATTCTTCTGCATATGGGAAGTTTGTTAATCTGGGATGAAGAAAACAGGGTATTCCTCTCATGAAAAAAATGGAGCGAATATCCATCAAAAAATAATATTGAGTGCTTTATGTTCCATTTCTCTGCTTTACGTGCTGAGTGATTGGTTCTTGGTACTTTTTCTCGGAATTTTCAGTGCATCTTAATTTCAATTTCATGGTTGAAATCGTGTCTAAATCTATTAATAGGGTGATGGAATCATTGGAAGAGGAATCTTATTAGCGGCAGTCTTGATGCCTTGATAGTCTATTGATATGATCATGTCTCTGAGGCAATCTCTTCTTACAATGTAGGCAAATTTACATTACACAGAACAATTCGCAAACTTGTGTCCCAGTACTATGTTGTTCCAATCTCATAAGACACTGGATTGGAGCACTAAGCTTTAAAGTTCTGCATTTGGACCATTACTATCATACTGACGTGGGATTTGTAAAACAGATGGTCATGCTCCTGGATGGCGAGCAGTGCCAGTGCATGATCCTTCAGTCCAAGATGCAGCAATTCATGCTTTGAAGTCCATCCAGCAGAGGTCCAACTCTCTGTTCCCTTATGAACTTCAAGAGGTCGTTCATGCAAATGCTGAGGTCAGTTACTTTTCTTCTCTCTCAACTTTATTTTTCCTGTTCGCGCCTTGTTAGTTTGAATGCAGAATTTAACATCGATATTAACATGTAGAATGAGAAAGCTTAAAAAAAACATGTGCCGAATTTCCTTAAGAGAGTTGATGGATTATACTCAATCTAACAACTACCAGCAATCGTGGATGGCTACACCAATCAGTGGCTTATAAGTGTACTGTTGATCTAAGTTATGTTTAATCTTAGAATAAATGTGCGGGTGCATGCATGTCCATTAGTTTTCTAGATCATGGTTGTCCTCTTGTGGTCATTGGTTTACCTTGACTTATTTTCTGAAGAGCCAAGATACATACGAAAGAACCATGGCCATGGGTTTTCCATCTCTGGAAGTTATGTTTTAGGATAGTCATATTCAACAACAGCAAGAGCATAAACAATCATTGATGAATATTTTAACTAATTCACAGGTGGTAGATGATTCTGCAAAATTTGATATGCTTCTCAAGGTGAAGAGGGGAAGCACTGAAGAGAAATTCAAGGTATTGGTGCACAAGAACAATGAGGGCAGCTACCATCTCAATCAGATGGAGCCACATGCCTGACTTCACAACTTCCTGTTTGACGTGCTAAAATGGCAATAAAACTAGAAATATCTGTTAGTTTACAGTGTAATCGTCGTTGTGTTGTGAATGGCTGAAAGCACTGAATGCTGATGCTAATCAGTGTTATGGGAAGAACATGCATGGAATTTACTTACATTTATCTCTGGACATGTAGATTCTCTATTATCAGGAAAATATATAAAAATTGACAGATCTAGCTACGGCGCTTGTCATGACTCGAATGGGGCTGACCCAGTCCTTGAACCATCGAGTTCTTGAACATCCAGACTCCAGAGTAGGAGACAAATCTCTATGATGCGTGGGCTTTGTCTCCTGCGGTGGGCCCGAACACTGGGCTTTATTGCTTGGGTTTTTTCATTTCAAGGTCCAGTTCTAGAATCTCAATTAAAAATTTTTTAACGGTCATCTGCTAATGTCTCAATTCCGCCCAGGAAAAGTGAACAATCCTAGATAACACTATGGATCCTCTTAGAAATTAAGTACCCGTACAATATTGTATTCGGCAATATATTTTTCGCTTTTTTTTTTTTTTGGTTATAAATAGTAAGCTTAAATCAAGGAGTGATGATTTAATCCAGACTTGATGTATCTCAACATTACACCGATTTAAATGAATTTTTTTTTCTGTATAGCATTCTTAGCCCAAACCTAATTTAATACACACACGTAATATTTATAATTTCTATATTTAATATATATACACAAATATAATAGACATGACCCACTAACCGGTAACCTGGACCGGTATGAAGAAGAATAAAAAAAACAAAACCCAAAAAATCTGGTAAAAAAGTCAGATTGACTCGTTGAGCCATCACGGGGTAGTGCCGCCTGGCTCTCAGTCTGGGTACAAGCCCTCATTGCGTTTGTCTTTCAGCAAACAGAAGCCCGCTCTGTGAAGTCAGGACGGTGCCCTTGTACCAGGATCCAACAGAGCAGACCGACCCTGTGAAGCCAGTGCAGCACCTGGTTGGACGGCCATGTTCCACAACCTTAACGCCCCAGCTTGGGTCACAATCCACCGTGACCTGGCTCGGAGATGCATCCCTCACGGAATAAGCCTTCTAGATTTTCGGGTTAACACGTTCTTAGCAGTGTGGAATTTACTTGAAATATGTGAAACAGCTATTAAAAGTAACATGTAAAGTATCAGACCAACAACAGCTATACATCCTACTGGAATATGGCTAAACTAAAACAAAGAGAGTTCACAGACAACATTCTCAAACTACAGCTTCTACTAGGGCTACCCCATCCTTCCTGCATCAGATAGTTAAGTTGCATAGACTATCTCACATTTTCAGAAAATCTACCACTATAGGAAGTTGTTAGAGAATGGCATCACTGAGGTTGCATAAAGATGATGACACAGAATAAAAGTTGAAATTCAGAACCAGCCTATGCCTAGGGAGAATGGATAGCGCGTATCTCAGATTTCCACCTTGGGCATCTATGTGGTTAAGCCCTGCTGTTTCTTCTCTCCTTGTCTCCATGCCTATTAATTGGGTCCCGACCACTAATCTTTTCTAAGAGCCAGCTGATAGTAAGATCAGCCTTCTTCGTCGTAATCTTCCTCCACCTCATCTGATCTTTCGCTGAGCTGTGCAAGCTGAAGAGGGTCAATGACCATCTTGTCCATTTCAGAAAGTGACCAACCTGGATATTCTTCATGGTTAGTTTCAGCAGCAGGCTCTGCTGATGAGCTGGGGGCTGAGGTGGTGGTTGTGGTGGTGGTGGTGGTGGTGGCAGCAGCTGGTGCTGCTGCAGCCTTTGCATCCTCGCTATCATTAACCTCTGCATTCAGATCAAAGTTTCGTTCTGGTTGATTGGTAGCATCACTGACTCTGTTATTGTCCATCACTGATTCCTTAGACTCTGAGCCATTGTCCATCACTACTTCAGGATTGGTGTTATTTTTAATGCTCTGCTGAACAGTTGTGCAGGATTCTGGTTCAAGGTCACGACTAGAAGATTCTCTTTCTATATTTCGAACACCTCTTCCACGACCTCTCCCTCGTCCTCGACCTCTTCCTCTGCCACTGCTGCCTGCATGGCTCATCTCATGCTGAAGGGAACAAGGTTAAAAACTCTTTAAAATACCTCTCAAATAAAAATCATATGACAAACTTGAAACTGCTGAACATAACATCTTCCAATGTAACTACCCTTGCAATAAACTTAAAAAGAAGGAACCACCAAAAACCAAACCAATTAATGATTGAAAACAGCGCAGGAAAAGGTTTATATGAGAAATATTTTAAGTGTCATCCTACCATCCTGCTTCTCTTCAACTCCTCGTCACTGTCATTGCATTCATCTCCAGTGGGCTTTCTGGAAGAATTACATGCAACCGAGTAAACCTAATTTGTTAATCCAAGATCCGCATAAAGAAAATGCTTAAAAAAGAAACAGAACAATAACATGATCTCTCCAATCACCTCTTTTGAAGAGGTCTATGATCTGTGGAATCAGAATGACCATGACTGTAGTCAGGAACCCTGCTGACGATTTCTCTCAGAAAATCAAATACGTTATAGCTCTGTACACAATGTTTTCTGCAGTTTAAGCAAGGGATTCAGTTAGATCATATGCAAAATAGAAGGTAAGAAAGGGGTTTAAAGGAAACATTAAAAGATTAATTACAAAAGGGACATGACGCCCCCACCATAACACACTCACACTTCTTAGGTGAGCTACAGTTGGAGAGTGAGAGGAGGAGAACAGAACTTCACACATCTTGCTCAACAAAGCATATGTAGATAATAAGAGCAAACCGAGGACTATTAAACTCAAATCATGTTTGGTCTCCACAATGAAGGTTTCGAAAGGGGTATTCTGGTGATGGCAGAAACTCCTAACTACCAACACACAAGCATGCAAAGAAAATGTATATAGAGGTGCTTAAGACTTGCACCGACCTGAGTAGGGCAAACAAATCAAAGACAGTTATTTTGATTAGAGCATTTTAGGAGGACCCAGTATATCCTAAGCCCATTGTAGATGCAAGTCAGATGATTTTATTTTCACTTTCAAAGTTTCATGAAATGTCTAATTAAATAACACAAACCAATAAAATTTATCTATTTGCACCAGATTCAGGCAAAATATAAGTAAAATAATTTGTAAATTAGCCAGATAAGAGCCTATTATGGCTTATGTAGGAACGATCTTCACGGACTAAAGAGAATCTAAATACAAAAAGAAAAAGACATGTTTTTCATTTTAATTCTAATTTCTATCAATTTCATTTAAAAGTTTAAAACAAGAGCCCATGTACAAAGCCTGAGATATGGCAGAATGCATTCACTTCAATGTAAGACCAAACCAACATCATGAACTGAAAGAGGACGGAGCTCCTGAAAATCCATATGTACAGAGAAAAAAGGAAATGTACTAATAACCTGGTGATTGACCTATGAACTGCTCAACCCAGCATGGTTTTAAACAACTGGGTGGTTTATTCTCAGACTAGAAAAAAATGTTAAAATTCAATGGTGGGCCTGGAACAGTCTTGTCACTAAGCTAAGCTCATTAAACCAACGCAAAAATGCCATCTCGCAGTCCAAGCTAAGCTCATTTTGCTTTCTTCTCCCATCCTTTTTACAGGGAAAAAAAAAAACAAAAGAAAGAATCACAGCAGAACTACAATTTGCTATTTAACTCAAACCTTTATGAAAATAAATGGACAGAGCCTGTGCGCTCATAAAGAAAACCAGCATGGTGTGCATATTAGGTTGCAAATGCTCATCCATTAGCTCATACAAGAGAGACTCTTAGATGAATAAGAGCAATTCCAGACTTACAAATGCAAAGCACTCATAGTCTTTGCTCCTCGCTGAAGGGTGATCTCATGAGTACGGTCACAGAGGTCTTGCAGAAACAATTCCAATGCTTTGGCTGCATTTATATCCAAGAAAAGCATAAGCAGGCAAACATTTTTGTAGAAAGACAGAGAGCTAAAGCATAAATAGTTACAGGTACTTACAAACTAAAACAGGCACTGCCAGTGCTATCTTCCCAACATCTTCATCAGCTTGCATAATTTTCTTTATGCGAGCCTGCCAAATTAAAATTATCCATCATACAACAGTACAAGACAAAAGCTTTTTCCAATGCAATAATTTAAAATTTAAATAGAATTTTCTGTCAATTTTCGAAGAACAGAAACATCAACAATGGCACACTCAGTTTTAAGATATTATATGGCTCCCAAATTGAAGAAGTAAAAAAATGATCAAAGCAAGCCTAAAAATAAAAACTGCACAAGTTGCAAATAGCTTTTTTTATTTTCTGAATGGCTGGATCACACCTTCAAATTTCTAGAAACTATCTATTCTGTTGGAGTTGGTGACTAGTCATTGGTGTGAAATGTGAAACTGAAGTTTGATAACCTTCTACATGCCATCCCACAAAATAACTAACCTCACCATCTAAACACTCCAACAACAAAGGCAACTTCATCTATTTATGCCTCAATATCACAAGGCTGATGCCACAGCTTCCACCAAAATCTTCAAACTGCCATGCAGAGCCTGGCAGTAAATTGAAACCAGATCAAACAGGCATTCTTGATTTTGTAACAACGCATTATGCTTCTGAAGTAATGTTGTTGAAGGGGGGAAATTATGTACTTTAATCATTACAGAGTAATCAATAGCACCCCGAGTGAAAAGTTCTGTCATATCTCTAATTTGATAGCCATGTTATGATCCTTAATGGGAATGACTAGTGAGGACTAACCAAGTATATAATTTATTAAGATGTGTTACACAATGATACAAAGGTGTCTGAAATTGCCAGGAGCGAAGGGAAAGGGATATCTGGGAATAAGAACAGTTTAGAGGTATGACCGTATGAGTAAATTTTCCTTCATCAGAAGCGCACAAAGTTGCTGGGTGAGTGTTTGTCATCTAGGAAAGAAGTGGCTGCTATAGTGAGGGTATGCATAGGCAAGGCCAAAAAAGCATAAACTACAGTGGAACCCCATGCTAAAATAATGCATTATAACTTGAAAACAAGCAACTCAAAACACATTTAGATCAGATCCAAAATCCCCAATTCCGTACCGTCAACAACAGTGTCATACTGGTCATTTGCAGGCAGAACAAGAGGAACATGTAGAAAATTAGAATGGTCCTAATTATAGAAGCAAAGCTAATGCTAGACCTGATCTAAATAAAACATTGATCTTAAATTACCCTAAGGTCCAAAGTAAAGATATATGAATCACCATTTTGAACAGTAACTGACAACCACAGTCAACAGCAAAATCTAGAAGAAAAATAACCTCCATCCCCCGAGCCCATCAACAATAAGATTCCCATCAACTGATTTGAAACACAACTTCACAAACCCACATGAGAAGTCTATGCCACAAACAAAAGAAAATATTAACAAGAACCAAAACCAAAAGACGGAACCTATAATTCAAAAATAAAACAGCCCCACAGGCCACAATCCAGAAGAGAACACATTCCGTGCCATTATCACCACAATAGCTCTATAACTGACACAATTACCAACTAATTATACCCACTGATCATAAAAACACTGCTTCCTAAAAAAACAAAACACCAACCTGCCAATTTCACCTAAAAAATCACAATACTTTCAATGAAACAATCCCAAATCAAGAAAAAAACCAGAACCAGACCATAAATCCTCATAAACTTCATCAACAGAACATCTAACCAATCAATCTATCATCCAAAAAGCTTCGAACTTTCCCTTCTTTTTCTCAGCTACTAAGCAAACCAAACAAGCCCTAGATCACAAAAAACCGCAAAGACGAGAAAAAAGAGTTCCTTGCAGCCAATAGTGAAATTAACATGAACAGAACAATCAATAAATCAATAAAAAAGTTTCAAACTTTCCTTTCGTTTTCTCAACTGCAAACCAAACAAAGCAAAACCCGGATCGCAAAAAGAGCAAAGGTGAGAGCTTACAGCTGGAAAACGAGTATCAAGCTTCTTCCTCATGGTTTGGTCAGATTTGAAGCATTAAATAATCACAAAAAAAAAAAAAAAACAGAAAGAAATAGAGAGTAGAAATTATTTGTTTTTAATTCAAAGCAAAATCATTTTCTCGTGATTGAACTGTAATAATCTTACAAACAACAACAAGGATAAGAAACATCGTTCCTTGTTTAGATCCAAAACCTTATAAAAACAGATGTATCATTTCCATGGATTATCCATCCGTACGTGTTTGACACCCAGGAAAATAAAAATAATAAAATAATAAAAAGTATGATAAGGTGGCGTCGCTGGCGGTTTTAGTATAACACGGACTAATAGAAAAAAGCCAAGTGTGTAAGAGGATGAATTTCTTTATTCTAAGCTGGGTTTATTCTTACATGGCGGATTGTGATTGGGCTGTTCAAAATAGGGGAAAAGTAAACAACTTTTCTTTTTGACCTTTTCTTTTTATCAGTTTGTTTTGTTAAAAAAAAAAAAAAGGCATAGTTTATGGCGGTGGAGAGAATGCGATTCATGCTTTCATATTTTTGTAATGTTTAATTAAGTCCTTCTAATGTCATTCACAATCTACGTTGGTTCAATTAGATCCAAATAATAAAGATTTCTTGCAATAAGATGAAAATTACCACCATGGCATTCTTGATCTAAATTTAAAATTAAATTAAATTTATCATCTATAATAAAATAAGAGTTGGGACATAATTTTTCATAAAAGATATCATGAAATTCTACAATATTAATGATATATTGAGATTTTATTATTTTTAGTTGCCGCAACATAAATAATAATATAGATTTTTTTATAGTGATAAATGATATTATTATTCATAATTAAGATAGTGACTATAAAATAATATGTCGCAATTATGATGATGGTTAATGAAAATTATAGTGATTTTTTTATTGATAATTACAATTGATTTATATTCATGACAAAAATATTAAGCATTAAAAAACTTTAAAAACAAATTTTAAAAAGATTATGAACTTTCATATCATATAATGTTAGTATTGGACATAACATTGAATTTTAATTAATCAAATGATTTATGTCTATTTTTTATCATAAAAACACAACAATCACCTTTCAAAATCTAAATCGGCTGTAATAACACAAACAAATAAAATTACAATAACATAGGATAAATATAATAAAATGTTTTTTTAGCTTTTATATCTTAATTTCTTCGTCTCTCTCCAGCTCCCACGTAAACTTTAATTTGCAAATCTTCTTATGAGCTTTATTCTTGTTGAGCCTAATGTTTGATTGAAGATTATCCTAGGTTTTAAATTTAATGTGATATTTTTCATAGATATAATAGATTGTAGTGAGGCAATTCACAAATCATGGTATAATTATGGAATAGGTGTTTATCAAGACTTCAATATCATTAATATGTCTAAATTGAAATGGGGGGGGTCCACGTTGTCTCTTCAATAATCCAAAGAGTGATTGTAAATTTCTTTTACGGGGGGGGGGGGGGGGGGGGGGAGTCCACGTTGTCTCTTCAATAATCCAAAGAGTGATTGTAAATTTCTTTTACACTTCAAGGGATGATCAACACAAGAAAAAAGCTTTAGGGTTAAATTGAAAAAATTAATAAATTTTAAGGAGAGTAAATTAAAAATACTATTTGACTTTTTATATGATACTCTCATGTCCATCAAAGGAAATGACAGTATAAAAAAAGTCATGGTTTCCGATTGAAGACACTAGAGAATCTATCAACATGCATCGTATTGATGTTTCTAGAAAGTGTTTTTATTAAAAAAATTATAAAAATATATATTTAAATTGATATTTTTTAATATTTCTTTATGAATTTAATATACTAATTTTAAAATATAAAAAAATATTTTAATATATTTCAAACTAAAAAGTTATTTTAAAACATATAATGTAACTCAACCACAAATATATTGGTTACTGTAATATGAGATATTTTTTCAAAAAAAATATAGTAAAATAATTTTATTTTTTTAATATTATCATATTAAAATTATTAAAAAAACATAAAAAAATATCAATTTAATATTTTTTAATTAAAACATATTTTTAAAATACATAAAAAATAAATATTATTATATTTTCAAACACCTATAAAAAGCAATATAAACAATAAATCATCTTCGAAATATATATATATATATATATATATATATATATATATATATATATCTTTTGAAATTCAAGATGTATTGTAGGAGGGACTTTAAAAATTTTCCATGTCAAATGCCCTTGAGGGAATTGACAAGTATTATACATTTGTTAAATCTATTTGAACTTTAAAAATGATATAATATTAAAAAATTTATTCAGAAACACACAAATCTTAGTGTAATTTAGATTTACCATAATGTCCTTTATTCATATTCTAACCACCCATTACACTAACCATACTTTTCTTAATTTCACGATATTACACGCTAAACTTCATGCAAATATCATCATACTCAATGTTACCAAATCATTCAATGTATTGATTTTACAAAATCTCATGGTACTCAAGCTCTAACTAGTAATATTTTATATGTATTTATTAAAAAAAAAACTACTCAAAATAACACCTTAAATTTTTTCCATTAACTCTTTTTATGGAAGTTTGACTTTTTTTTGTAGTAGTCAATCATGTTGACATGGTATCAAATGCATGTTAGGAATAATTCTATAACAAGCCAAAATATATAAAAAAAAGACAAAATCTTGCAAGATTATACTCATCATTTTAATCCTTTCTCTTTATTAATGCATTGCACTAACACTATATATAATGGGATTTGTTTCCATTAATTGAAAGATATTCATTTATTCAAGATTCAATAAAAAAAGAATATCCTAAACAATTTTTATGCCAAATCAAAAACTTGGATCATTTTAATTTTTCTTTGTTTTCAATGGAATCAATTGGTGCAAAAAGGTGTCCCTCTAGGACCTCAAGCATCTCGGCAGCCTCCGAAGAAACATTATGCAGATATAATGGTGATCATAATCAGAAAAACATGATCAATCTGAAAATGAAAGAGAAAGTTGTTAATAAAATTGAACCATCAACCTTGCTCGATTCATCAAGTTCTCCTGTTTTGCTCGATTTGAAGCTTTCCAATGATGATTCTTTTGGTGGATCAAAGCTAGAGTTCAATCTTTTTAGCCTTATTAATGCAGATGCAAATGAATCAACAGATGAGACTTTGAAACCAGCTAATTCAAGAGTTTTGTCGTGCACCTATTGCAAGAGAGAGTTCTCCACATCCCAAGCTCTTGGTGGACATCAAAACGCACATAAACAAGAGCGTGCAATAGCCAAAAGGCGTCAAGTGATGGATGTGGATGCTTTTGCGCAATTTCTATACTATCCCTATCCAAACCATTCAACACACCCTTATTATGGATATTTCAATAAGTCACTTGGTAAGGAGATGGATTCCTTGATTTGCAAGCCATCATCTTATCCATGGAATGCATCCTCGAGTGGGTATCATTTTGGCCTTGGTGGGTGGTCAAGGCAGGCCATGATGAATGCACAACCAACTTCCATTGACAGGCTAAGAATGGAGAGTTTGAATTCTCTTAATGGTAGATATAGAAACTCTACTGTCTCTTTTTTTTTCTTCTTCTTTTTCAAGGTTTGAGAACATTAATGACTTATTTCGTAACTTTGGTGGTTCTTCATCATCAAATATTGCAACCAATAAGTCATCCATCGATACTGATCAGCTCCAGTTAATGGAACCTCTAAAAAATGATCAAGCTAATCTATTAGGACTTGATTTGTCTCTAAAGCTTTAGAATGTTCTATATATATGTTGCTTTGTTATTTATCAAAATTTTCATTGACCTAAAGATAATGTATACATATACATGATTAGTTGATTTAATTATTTTCTATTATTTCTTGAACTTCTCTATAAATGTTAGCACAACTTAGCCTTAATTTCAATTCCTCATTTTTTGTTTGATCTCTCTCTCTGTATTGCTTTCTAAAATGTGATCTTTCCCCTTTGATATTATTGTATTTAATTAAGTTTGTATTTGATTTATTTTTCATATCTTCATTTTTATTTTTCTAACAAACACGTTTATATTTTTTTATAAATCAAGCTAGAACTAACTAAACATAAACAATCATAACTCACCAAATGAGATGTTGTTCAAATATTGCATTATACCGGTGTAAACTTGAGAAAAGATGCCTTAAAATCATTGAGTAAATTTCATCTCAATATCATTATGCTCTTCAATAACATTAATGACAAAATATTGCATAGCTACGTGCCTTTTTTTTTCCTCCCTTTGTTAAACCTTCATATATATCTTGATACAATATGTTTATATATTCTTTTCCATAATTACAGGATGAAACGAATAAGTATTTACAGGTAATTCATTATTTTTAAAACTAACTATTTAATAAAGTGATCATATTTTTTTTAGATTTGATTAATAACGTAATAAAGTATAAAATTCTAAAAAAAAACCTCGCCCTATTTTTTAAAATTAATTTATCATAAATCAGGTTTAATAACTATATTTATATTTCTTAATAAAAAAATGAGATTATTTTTAAAAGCAAAAACAGAAAATTATCTTCAACCTTTTAGACTTTTGAAAGCCCATGAACGATTTATAGGAAAGGGCCAGGCCCAAAATCTGTAGTGCAGCGATGCAAAGGAATCAGTGAGGAGGTCGGAAGGAGCAGGGGCTAACTGATTTTGGTTCCTGACTCGACAGAAAAACTAACCAAACCTTAGTTACCGTTGATGTTGAATTACTCGGTGAAAAGTTTCGATCTTGATTTCCTAATTGCATACTGATTTTTCTATACAATCCGGACTCTATACTGATTAATTTCAGTCTATTTAAGAATGCTAACCCGCACCCACAATCTAAAACATCTGAGAAGAAAAGATTAATTGTTTTTGGTTGATCTGTGTGTTGTTGTAGTTCTGTCATTACTTACAGCAATGGAGAGACAACAACTGTTTCATGTTTCTAATTCTTGTTCTATTTTCAAGAAAATTAAGAATCCAAATAAAAGAAAAGAATGTGAATGTCAACAAGCCGAGAGAGAATTGTTTGCAGGGTCACAGCCACTTTTCAATGAGCATCCTTCTTGGTTCAAGAAGCCAAAAACAACCAGCGGAATTGGTTCCATTGTTGCTGCTTCAAGAAATCCAGGGAGGGTTTTAAACGAACCAAAGCTTTTTGATGAAAACAGGGTTTTCAAGAACTCTGTTGATAGTGATTCAAGAAACAAAGAATCTGCGGAAGAGTTGGAGAGAAGGGTGGCTTTTAATCTTAGGACGATGAGATCGTCTTTTAGCCTTGGAGATTTGCTAGAGGAGAGGTCTCGCGGGGTATCAACTCAACTAAGTCTGTATCATCATGACCCATTCGAGATCAAGAAGAAGATGAAGCCAAGTGATCTGGGTAATCTATGCAGGCTGCTTGTGTCTGCAGATTTGGTTGAGAAATATATCCTGCCTTTCTTGAACGAGGATCAAACTAAACAGGTTAAAATTCCGAATCAAGAAAGGAATGGTTTGAAGGTCTGGGTTAGGGATATTGACACTGGAAGTATGCATCAGTTGGTCTTCAAACGATGGAGCACTTCTAAAAGCTATATTTTCAATGATGGCTGGACAAAGCACTTCGTTAAAAGGAGGAATTTGTTTGAAGGAGATGAAATTGGACTCTACTGGGACAATGATCAGTCAAGACTTCACTTCAGTGTTCTGAGTAGAGCTGCTGCTACTGGCTAAGACTAAGATTTTGTATTTGCTCTTAATTAGGTTACGTTTGGTTGTTGTTTAGAATCCGAGATGCTTGCTTGTTTTATTGTAGTCAACTTCTGATGTTATTTTCTTCTATAATCAATCCAGTTTAGCTTGAAAGATTTCTTTTGCCTGGTTTGATTTCAATCAACCAATCCATTATTCCCAGTTCTGTTTAACATATTCTCATCGTAGAGCTTCAAAGGCTCATCAGGCTATCGATTATACAAGGCTAATCTAATGTTTATGACAGTAAAAGAAAAATAGGTTAGAAGGTTAACTAATTTTCGTACGGGCCGACGGTTTCTATTATTTAGTAGTCATGCTTTTATTTTTTTTTGATGAATCAGCTAGTCTGTGGCATGGGAAGATCACAGTACTTTTTATGGCATGGGAAGCAGAACACTGCATCTGGTGCTAAATTTTCTTGGCAAGAATCGACTTTTCCCATGCAGGAAGGAGGAATAGGAACCAAAAAAGTTAGAGGGATGCAATTCTGCATGTGTCTTGATTATACAAGCAGGATCTCTAAAGGTGGCTTGGCGCATGGCTCATCTCCTAAGAGTTAGAATTTATGGTGCTCAACTATTCCAAATGGCTGTTCAGAATTGCAAAAAATTACTAAAGCTCAGAACTCTAATGTGGGATCAAATCGTGCATACAGTAGGCAATGGGGGGATTTTACACCTCATTACGTCGCTATTTAATGGTGGAATTTCCGACGAATTATTTCCATCAACAAATATTAATATGTTATAACGACTTTTGTTCCCCTTGTTCTTCCTTTTCTTCTTCTTCCTCCTTTTCCTATCAGAAAAATACTTAGCAACCCCATTTATCATAAAGTTGGCCACCCCAACCCGTATCTATATCTATTAACAATGTCAACGTTGATTATTGGAATTTTTGCAAAGCTTCGATACACAAAGCAAACAAATTCATTGATTTTTTTGTAACTCATCTGTATGTTAGATTAATTTATTAATTTTTTTATAATTTTCTTGTATATTTAAGTGTTTTATGACTTTTTACTAAGAAAGATTTATGTATTAATGTATAATGTGTACACTAGGGTTTATTTGGGATTTGAGAAAAAAAAATTTATTGCTATTTGATGAAATTGAAATTGATTTTGTAATTTAAATATGTTATAAATGAATAAATGATAATTAATTTTAATGGATGCTAATTAATTGTATTTTTATTAATTTTATTGTTAAATTGAAAATTAAAAAAATTATTTTTTATAAAATTAAAAAATCAATATTATTACATGTAGGTTTCATATTTAAACAATGAACGATGGTGATGGTTACTGGATCATCCATTGCTTAATTATTATTTCATATTTCAACAAAAAATAAAAAGCACCCCTTGAGTTTAATGGGTTTCATATATCGTTTAATTAGTTATTTTATTAATCAAATTCAATCATTATTCAGAGTTGTTAATTTCTTGTTTGATATAATAATCGTTTCGGCTTAAAAATAAAATTAATTAGTTTAATTGGTCATGTGAAAATATGTATATATATTGAGTGATTATATATTGATGTCATTTAGTGCTCCTAAATGCAACGCTTGTTAAGATTGGTCAATAATTTGTTGGGATCTGGACCAAGACACAAACTATATAATTAATATCCATATTCTCTTCGCAATGAAAGATCAGATAAAAAAAAGAAACGAGAGAGAGATAGAGAGACGTCCACTCTTACTCAAATAACGTCCCTCATGAGCAAAGCACTGACATGTATATAAAATCTAAAGCACAGAGAAAGCGTGTAATTATTCTTTATTGCTGTTGTTTTCGCTGTTATTACCACTAACAGCTAACCTCAAATTCTAATCAAGGAACCAAAGTTTGCTTTGGAGCTATCTCAACAGGCACTGCAGATGGTGCTGAGGGTGATGGAGAAGTGGGATCGGCAGCTTTATCACAGTAGCCTTCAAGAATTTGGCTCTCTTCAGTGGTAAATCCTAGTGTATCAATCATGTTAGGCCAGCAATGTTCACCAATGGTGCTCAAAGCTTGGCAACAGCTATGACCAAGTTGAGTCTCACCGTTAAGGAAGAAAAGAACAATCTCCCCAGTACATGCTTGTAGTTGCAACAAAGAGTCCCAGCAATTCGATGACTCTTCATCTAGTTTTAAGCGAGTCGAAAGGTTTGAGATTGAAGCCAGCGGTCTTGCCTTGGCCTTGTAGCAGCCCAAGCTGCTGCATGCCAATAAAGCAACGAAAAGAAAGAGCTTACGATTAAAAGCCATTTTGAAGGTGATATTATAGAGAGAGTCGTATTTGATCCGGCAATGGAGATTGCTGCGTGATTTATATAGGAATTATAGAGCATGATGTTGAATTAATTTGAACGTTACATTTCTTGAAAGTTACACACAAGGCAGGAAGGAAATGAGAGAACGTGTGGTACTTGGATCTTGGAAGGGAATAGGAAGACCAAAAGGCAATAATCAATTAATCATCCATTAAGTTTACCATTTATGGCAAATAAATCAGATTAAAATTTCTGTAACAGGCCATAATTAGCAAACATTAGTAATATATACCACATAATGACGGGCATAATCTTGTTGGTGCATTTAATTTATTTGCTATAAGTTTTTTTCCAGCCCCCTTAACAATATTTATAGTTTTAGGCAAAACAGTCGAAAAAATGAAAAATTGCTCTCCCTAGAATAATCTTCCTAATTTGGCTCTCTTAATTTTATTTTCTAGCTCCTGTTGGCGTCAATATTTCATCGAACTCTGTCAGCCATTTACATCGTTGACGGAACTGTGTTTACTCGCCGTTGAAATACTCCGTTTATGTTTTTCAATTTTCTAGTGGTGAACGGACTCTAAATTTATCTATTAGTAACATGCCACTCATTGATTGGAATACCGAGTTCTGTTGGGGTAAGGAAAAACCGCAGAAGAATTTTCAGTCTGTTGTCATGGGGCTTGCATGGCGTTCTTTCATTTATTAGACATGGAATGATGGGAGCAGGGCCACTTCACATATCCATAGTTATAGTATCTGGCTTGGCTTAAGGTCTAGCAATTTGTATATCCATGAGTTCATCCAGGTCAATTGAGTTTTTAGAATGAAATGATATTGTTTTGGACTATTTTTTAAGAAGAAAAAACTAAAACAAAATCATTTTGAATAATATTTTTTTTTTGAAAATAATTGTTTAGATCTTCCCTTACGAATTGACATGTTTAATCACCTGAATTTAAACTGTTAAACTCCTCATACAGTTTAAAAGGACAGGTTCGGTAACAACGTGAGGGGCCGAGCCCAAGAGGAAGTTAATATGAGATGCAGGGCGGCAACATAACGGGCGATAGGAAAAGAGCGGGAGAAAACTGATTTGATTTCCCGTCTCAAGTCTCAATAGATTTACAAACCAAATTAGTACTTACAGTTGAATTACTTGGTAACAAAGTCTTTCTTTTCCGAATCGCATACTGACCGACTTTCCGGACTCCACACTGATAAACTCCAGTCTGTATATTTATTAATCCAAGCCCACAGAGTAAAACATTTGTGAGAAAATTTTGGTTCTTATCTGCGTCTCGTTGTTTATTTTATCTGCTATTGCAACAATGGAGAAACAACAACAATTTTGTGTTTTGAGTTCTTATTTTCCTTCCAGGAACACCAATAATCCTAAGAAAAGAAAAGAATGTGGATGTCAACAAGCCGAGAGAGAAGTGTTTGCTGGGTCACAGCCACTTTTCAATGAGCATCCTTCTTGGTTCAAGAAGCCAAAAACAACCAGCGGAACTGGTTCCATTGTTGCTGCTTCAAGAAATCCAGGGAGGGTTTTAAAGGGACCAGAGCTTTTAGATGAAAACAGGGTTTTCAAGAACTCTGTTGATCCTGATTCAAGAAACAATGAATCTGGAGAAGAGTTGGAGAGACGGGTGGCTTTTAATCTTAGGACGATGAGATCGTCTTTGAGCCTTGGGGATTTGCTAGAGGAGAGGTCTCGCGGGGTATCAACTCAACTAAGTCTGTATCATCATGACCCATTCGAGATCAAGAAGAAGATGAAGCCAAGTGATCTGGGTAATCTATGCAGGCTGCTTGTGTCTGCAGATTTGGTGGAGAAACATATCCAGCCTTTCCTGAATGACGATCAAGTTAAACAGGTTGAAATTCGGCAAATGCCAAATCAAGAAATCAATGGTTTGAAGGTCTGGGTTTGGGATATCGATACTGGAAGTATGCATGAGTTGGTCTTCAAAAGATGGAGCACTTCTAAAAGCTATATTTTCAACCATGGCTGGACAAAGAACTTCGTTAAAAGGAGGAATTTGAGGGAAGGCGATGAAATTGGACTCTACTGGGACAATGATCAATCAAGATTTCACTTCAGTGTTCTTAGTAGAGCTGCTGCTAGTGGCCAAGATTAGAAATTGGTGTTGCTTCTAGGCTAGGTTTGATTGTTGTTTGGATTTCCAGATCTTGTTTACTGTGACGATTAACTTCAACTGATATATATAATTCTATTAATCTTGCTGTGCCTTCTATTGGCCCAAAACACGTTGAGAATTCCCAGGTAAAAGACACGGTGACGATCATAATGACCACACGACTGATATATTGGTTAGGCCCATTGGCCTATTGCAAGACAGGTAATTTTTTTTTTATCTTGAGTATTTACTGTATTCCTTTGTAATGCAACGTGATATTACTGTTGATGGAGCTAGAGAGGCAAGGATCATGTGAATTATCCCAATAATTTATTATTATTATTTTTTTTATATCATTTTATGTAAAGGTTAAATAGTTTTTTCAAATGATTGAAAAGGGAAGGCTTTTTGGAGGCAAGATGCTAAAATGATTGTGCATGGGAAATTTCCTGGCTGGCAGAGGCTGAACCACATTGAAGGGTGCGGGCCATGGCACCCCAACTATGGACATATTTACATTTTAGTCCTAGAAGTTTTAAACGTTTTATTTTACATGTTTTGCACCCTAAAAAATCACTTGTTTTCTTATTTGCCCCTCTAATCCCACAATTTCTGGTTCCACCCCTTAGCTGCACCTCCTTTGATAAACCTTTATACTGGCAAAATGGACAGACAAGTGGTAAAATTCTAATGAGAGCTGTCCATGCTTCAAGTGAAACTTCTTCCTTAAGATTTTTTTTATATAAATAAAAACAATTTTTCACAATGAAATATAGAAATTAACAGAAAATCATTTGTAAAACAGTTAATTGAAGAGACAAAAACAATGTATATAAATCCAGTTTGATTTTGATAAGTTAATCAGTGATTTGATAATTTGATTTTTATTCTAAATAAAATTTTAAATTAAATCAAATGAAAATTGACCAGTGTGATTTAAAATATAATTTTATTTTTTAAAAGAATCTTAAAATAACATTATATTTAATTAATTCAAGTGAACCTAAATCTAAGTTAATTTGTTTACACTAGCGTTTGGCAATGACATTGTTGGGCTGGTTTAATAACTTTGGGTAAAAGGGCATTATTTGAACACAAATACTTATTTTCTTCTTTTCAATTATTCAATTAAATATTTTAGTATTAGTTTAGTAAAGCCATTTACCGCTTCTTTACTTCGATCCCATTACTTGTGACGTCAAAATCACAGCAACACATGCACGTCTATGGTTTGTTGCCAAAAAAGGGCAAATTCTGGTAGAGTGTGTGTGTGTGTGTGTGTGTGTGTGTGTGTGTATTAAAACTTAAATTTATTACATTTTAAATACAGGTGGTGGCAGTTAGGTTTTACCGGGATTTTAACAGCCAATTTAGGATCTACCTTGCCTATTTTCCTGTTCTACGCATCCCATTTAAAAAATAGAAAAAGAAAATAAAATAAAAGAAAATAATTAAGTAAATAAAATGGAAAGAAAATCTAGGTCCCTAATATTGGGAAAGGTTATTAATGTATCACCGTACATATACTTTTTTTATTGTAATTATTGCATCTAAAATCATAAACTAGAGATATTATTATTTATTTATTTATTGTTAAAAATGTGAATACTGCTAGATTTATATAAAAAAAATTTAATATTTTTTTTTAATTTTTTAGATGTGATCCGAAACAGAAATTTACGTAAAATAAACTTAAATTATTAGAATACTCATCTAATTTGCAAATAAACAAGTTATTTTAAATAAAATAATTTTATTTTTTTGTTAAAAAATCCTTAAAATTGATCTTAGAGTTTAGATTAACTTTATTCACATCAATTAAATTTTATTTAATATTTTTTAGTTTAAATCTCAAATCTTATAAATCAAATATTTAATTTTTTTTCAGCAACCTTTTTCAAGAAGAATCTTTACTAAAATTAGCATTAATTAGTAAGGAAAAAAAAAAAAACCATTACCGTAACTGAAGTGGTGAATTAAATACAGTTTAATTCCACCTGGCGTAACAAGAGAACATTAAAAAAAAAAAAAGACAAGAAAGAGAGAATCCTTAAAAATAAACCAGAAATAGAGGAAGCCATTAAAACTGCACAACAGACAGGCAAACATAGCAAACAATTTCGAAGAAACGCTCGTAACCCACAAATCAACTACAAAATAAACGACCCCTTGGCCGCTTTTCTCTTCAAGGTTTGTTATCAGATCCATTTTTTTTCTTGTTTTGTGTTTCTTGAATTTGGTGCAGAGAGATCTTGAATGCATTGAGAAATCAATGTTGTTTGTGAAAGTTTGGTTTTTGTTTTATGTGTTTGGTTTTTTTTTTTAATGTATTTGGTTTGTTTTGATCTCTTTCTTTTCGGGTCTGGTTGGATTTTGAGAGATCTAATTGTATTTATTTGAGTTTTTTATTCTATGCTCATTTCTTTTCTTTAAAAATTCAGATATTATTATTATTTTTTATGTGGAGGTCAAGAATTTGTGGTGGGGCTTCATTTTTTTGGTTTGTAGGTATTTAGAAATCTCATTTCTTTTTGTTTTCCATTCAAAGAAATACTGAAGATTTCATTTCTTGTGTTTTGCATTGAGAATGTGGGATGGTATATGGATTTGTGTTTGAATCAATTCTTTTTTCAGTTTTTATTATTGTTTGCATAATGTTTTTGGCTTACAAAAAATTGGTTGCAAATGATATTTAATTAGTCGGTTATGCAATTTTGAGAGCTGAATTAATGACGTTTGATTTTGCATCTTACCTGTGGTTTTATGTTTGCTCACTTTATCAGGATGTGAAATATCTTGTTTTGCATTTGTGTTTGATTTGATGATATTCTTGTTAGCAAATCGATGAATTGCAGAAAATTCGTGTTATTCTCTTTTCCATTTTTCTTTTCCTGAAAACCATGTTAGTTTCGGATTTGTGTGACTTAACTCTGTAATTTCAAATGTGTGATGAATGCATTATGCCACCTGGGTTTCCAGTTTATGATTCTGCTGTCTCTTTTTGTCGATATATGTTTTTTCATTAAATAGTGGGCAGCTAACGAGATGCAGTTGATTCTTATGTAATACGTAGCATGCTGTATGCTTTTTAGATGATTTCATCTTGAGATTGTCACCTACAACATCCATTAAGAATGGGATTTTAAAAGCGTTATGAATGTAGGTTATTGAGTTTTGTACATATGATTAAATGAATGTTTTGAGGGAACTGCATATGGCATTTCTGATAAGAATTCGATTGTGAACCAATTCTCTTTCCTACACTCTTTGCAGTTTATCATGAATATGGTGTTAAAGATGGAAAATGATGCATTGGGTATGTGCATTTATGCTATACTTTCTCTAGCTGTAAGAAGTGGTTTTTACATTTTGCAGGAACATTATCTTATAGTAATCCAGAAAGATGTCTCCTGCATCAAAATCCAAGACCAAGTCCCAGGATAAGACCTCTGCAAAGTCTGCTATAGAACAGCCAAAAGCATCCATTAAGTCTTCTGGATCAGCCAACTCTGTAACTGGGAATCCAGCGAATGCTTATAATCCAATTTCTGGGACTTTTCACACATTAGAAATACCAGCTGCTGCTGCTTTCCCGCCCTTGCATGATAATGGTCGTTTCAGAAATATAGATGACACAGATGAGCATTCTAGTAGCCCACATGGAACAGTTTCTGAGTATGATTCAGTTTCCAACAATGGGAGCTGCTCTGGTGAGTCAGAGGACATTAAAGAGAAGATAATCAATTCTACTCAACAGGAAACGATACCTGGCTTAGACAGCAACCGATGTGAGAAGATCCGTCAGAGGAATGAGAAAAAGCATCAGCGTCAGAGAGAGAGGAGGGCGCAAGAGTTGCATGACCGATGCAGTGGGTATCTAATGTCAAGAAAACTAGAAAGGCTTTCACAGCAGCTTGTGGCAATGGGTTTTTCTCATGAGCGGGCAATCTTGGCCCTTATGTTGAATGAGGGCAGGGTAGAAGAATCGGTAAACTGGCTTTTTGAGGGAAGTGAAGAGGAGGCTCAAAAGGACTCTAAGCTTGAAAGTGGTGGTAACCTAAAAATTGATATAAATGAGGAGCTCGCTCAAATCTCAGCAATGGAGATGAGATACAAATGCTCAAAGCAGGAGGTTGAAAGAGCTGTGGTTGCTTGTGAAGGGGATCTAGTGAAGGCAGAAGAGACCCTGCAGCCACAGAAGCAGGAACCACCTGCAACTCCACCAAGGCAAGAATATACTGCTAATACGAATAACCTGAGGAGACTGCTTGAAAAGCCTGTACCTGTGACTTCAGTTACAGCACAGCAGAGAATGAATGAACGGGATTTCAACTACAAAGCAGCTATTCCAGTGCCAACGTATTCAGAACCTGGGAGTAGAAACTTGCAACCTCTGAATCAGCCCAAGCCACTAGCAGACAAGAGGTGGGGCGCAACAGGATCGAGCCCTGCATTCTCATCATCTATGGGACCATCCATGCAAATACCACCTCAATCAACAAAACTTGATGTCCAGCTTGGTTTTACTGAAGGAGTGGGCACAATAGGATCGAGCCCTGCATTCTCATCATCTATGGGACCACCCATGCAAGTAGCACCTCCATCAACAAAACTTGATGTCCAGCTTGGTTTTTCTGAAGGAGTGGGCACAACAGGATCTAGGCCTGCATTCTCATCATCTATGGGACCATCCATGCAAGTAGCAACTCCATCAACAAAACTCGATGTCCAGCTTGGTTTTACTGGAAATGAGAGGAAAAATGTGCAGCAGATAGTGAGGGAACCAGTAAGCCTTCAATCTATGAATGCCAAGCAAAATACAGTCCCTTTCGCCAGTGCCACTCCTTCAGTAACAGCTGGATGGTATTCAAATAATGTTCCAGGTGTTGAACATATGCGGTCAAATGTTAAGTTGCTTTCAAATCAGAGCACTGGAAGCCTTGGTCTTGTAAATCAGAGCTCACAACAATTTTACCATCCAGTGTCATACAAACAAAACCCGTTCCCTTATAGCGGCCTAGTAAATTATACATCAAATGGACTGGGAGGAACAAGGTCTCCTTCACTTACAGTTCCGTCTCAGTTGCAAGGTTCATATGGTAGAACGACAGCATCTTTGCCTTCTCTAGCAGCACCATCCTCACTTGGTTTATTCACTGGCTGGGGCTCAGCTGGAACTTTAGGTTCTTCACATGTTGATTGGAATACAGGAGGCCTGATGTCAGAATTTGATTACACCAGCATCGATTGGACTTTGGATTCGAACATGTTATCCTCTAAGTCAAATGGGCTGTTGCTGGGCCTCTCCTCATTACTTAGGAACACGTCTAGCACAAGGACGAGCAGTACAAATAGTTCCTTCCTGTCAGGGTTACGGGACAGTGGAGTGGCTAAAGAACCATCATCCTCAGCTGGTTCGCGCGAGTGGACCTCTCCTTTCGCAGGCATGGACATCTTTAGTGTGCCAAGGCAGTTTGTAACTTCTCCATCTCCTTAGGACTAGGGATAGGACTTTGGAAAAGGAGAAGAAAGCAGGCAGTGAGGCTTGTTTAGTTGGGGTTTGGATGCATGTTCATGCTTGTTTCTGGTTTTATCAGTGGTAAATGCATCCATCAGTTTCTGCTTTTATGATTTGTGTCCTCTTTTTCATTACTGGTTTGCTAGATGGAGAATGTGCTGCTATTTTGGGCAATCAACAAGACTTGCAATTTCGGCAATGGGTTTTCACCTTTCAGACATTTGCTAAAAAAAGAAAAAAGAATTTCATATCATACCTTCTCAACTGGAATTTAAAAGAACAAAATATAGGGCGTACCAAGATTAAATAAAAACCAGCTATTAGACTTGTATTTAGCCACCGGTAGGATAAAAAAATTTAAAAGTGAAAAAAATTACAAGCATTTTCAACGTATTTTTTAATATTAAAAATTCTCAACCCTAAATTGAAATGATCATACATGTATTTGAAGTAATTAAATTAATATTTCATTAAAAAATAATTAAAATTAAAATTTTTGATCTCACAACGAGTTATGTACTTAATTATATTTAATAATTTTTTTAAAAAATAAATTTTTAATTTAATCAACTGATTAGCTATGCTAATAAATAATAAAAATAAAATCATTAATGAAAGCAAATGAAATAAACTATAAAACCTGGCTATCAAACAACTTAAAATTAAAAAAAAAACTTATAAAAAAAATATAGATTAATTTGTTAACCTTGTAACCTATGATCACATGAATGGTATCACAACTGTATAGAAAAAAATAAAAAAAAATTATGAAGATCCATTTTAAAAAAATCAAGAAGATTTGATATAAAAATAAAATCAAATCAAATGATGAAAGATAAAATTAAAAAAAAAATCAATAAAAAATTAAAAAAATAACAATAAAAAAATTAAAAATAAAATCAGATAAAAAAATAAATAATAAGACATTTTCATACATTAACAAGAATAAAAAAGAAAGAATAAAAAAGAAAAAAAAGAAAGAGGATGAAGAAAACTTAATGGAGCCTAGCTATTTCACTATTGCACACACTTATCAATATCAATAGGATGTTAGAATGCTTCCAACGCCGTTATGGAAGGTAGAGTTCGACCACCAAATAATACTGCTTGAAAACCACGATCAACATTCACTTGTTGATGCCTGGTATATATCAACTATTTTTTTATTAATATTTTAATTTATAAAAAAAATAATATCTCTCAGTCAAGCCAATGTAAGAATAATAATAAAAAAGTCAAGTGTAAAAGACCAAAACACTCCACTAACAGCTTTAAATTTCTCGATTCTTAGAGCAGCCAAGTAATTTCACTGTACACAAAAGCCACATTTTTTTTTAATACTTCATATTAAATAAAAAACCAAAGTACCTCTTAATTATCATCAGTATAACAAAAAAAAAGGAGATTAAAATACCAAAAAACCCATGCAAAAAGGTTTTATTTTTTTTATGCCGACTATAAAAAAAATGTCTATAAAGCTTCTATACACTAGTTTAATATTTTTTTTCTTCTAAAATTATTTTTTTCATTGCATTGTTCTCAAATAATATAAAAAGACTTGGATGTCCTCATTGAATCTTGCAATGATCGATATATGTCGGTGCGAAAAGACCACTTCACATGCATAGACGCCGAGTATTTCTTTAAGGGCAAAATAGGGAATGCCGTTTAGGTTTTCTTATTGCGATGTAATGATTTGGCCAGAGCAGTTACAAAAATTGTGGGGTTTATACGAATATATAACCTACAGTAGTAATTAAATCACTCGATACGAACAAGAAATCATATAGAACTAATCAATGATCTTTAACCAGCTTTAATCCCCATTCCACATCCTCACAATGCTTCACGTTAGGAACAGCAGCACCGGGACCGATGTAGACATCTGCCTTGCAGCCATAGCTTGGAGGGAAATGAAAGCAAGGCTCCATTGACATAGCTTGCACACAAGGAGGATCTGGGGTTGTTCCGTTCAAAGGCCTGTAAAGCATCCATGGCTTCAAACCACCTAGACTTTGAGCCACATAACCAAATGTTGACCAAGAACTTGTAATTAGTACATTACTCATACTTAGCAGATAGATTTCAGTCCATGCCTTCATGCTGTGCATGCTATTCCCGTAAATTTCATGCTCTTCATGGCTTGGCTGGTAAACACCAATCACCTCCCCGCTCACAGTTGGTTTTGTCCAATACATTCCCTTTATATGCTCATAGTACTCTGAGTACAAAGATGTTACTAAAACAGCTTTCAAGCTTTGGTTGTTGGACAAAGAAGCAGCAGAATTTTTCACATCTAGGACTTCAGGGAGTAGTTTCTCCTTTAGAGTACAGGACAAAATCTGATCCATAACTGTTTGAAATGGAGTAGCTTTAGTATCGAAAACTCGTACTTGGATGCCAATCGTCTCATCTGCTTTGGATAAGTAAGCTCGATAGAACCTGGTGATAAGTCCCCATGCTTCATTTGAGGGTTGGAAAAGGTAGCGACCCAAGTGATGAAAAACAGTTTCTTCATCAGGGAACAACTTACTTAGTTCCTGCTTAAAAGATGGGACTAAGAAGAGAGAAGGAACAAAGTACTGGTTTGATTTTATAACCAACCAAGGGACCTTTCCAAGTTGATCTTGATTTTGATCACAGTAAAACAGCCCGTCGTAACGATCAATGTTGTAAGCTAGATAAATATAAAGAAATGGTGGTGGTGGAGACTTCACGGCAGTGTTTATGATTCTACTCTTCATCATGTTTCCGTATGTATGAGGATATTCCTGGCTGAAATTGTCAAACTGATTCCTTAAGGGAAAATCCCTAGGCAATAACCATGTTGTTTGCTGAAATGGCTCACAAAACAGATCGGCAATTTCACTTCCGAATTCCACTAGTAGGACTCGGTTTGTGAGGAGAGCGTAAAGAAATGCTGAGGCAATGGTCAGCATCCTGTTCCCTAGGCCACTTAAAGGTGTATAGACAACATAGTTACAATCTGTGGTACTGACCTTACGGCCAGACTTGAGTTGTTCGAGGGTTTTGTTGTAGGCTTCGGTATAAGGCCCGCAGAGGTTATGAAGACTTTCATAGTTCCTAAGTTTGGAGAGGAGGTAGGAAGAGGGCTTATGCGAGGAGGGTTTCCGATATAGGATGGCTTCATACCGGCTTAAGCAAGATCCTTTGTCATGTCCAGGAGCAAAAAGTTCGTCAAGAAGTAGTTGAGATGAAACATTTTCTGAATCTGTAAAAATCAGGAAGGAATTCATAAACCAGCCATATCAAATCAGAATAAACCAAAAAAGGTTGGTCTTACCTACCTCCAACTCCTGATGTCTCAGTTTGAGCAGCTCCTCCTGCCAAGGCATTAATTTTAGCATCTCCTCCATCAACTTTGAATGCTGTACTCCTCTGCTGAACGATTAAGACTATTACTAGAATAGAGAAAATTATCAAACAAGCAAATGGGATTACTGAACAATATCCATTTCTCTGCACTTTGAATTGAAAGTCTTTCCTGTTGCAGGAAGTTTGATCTCTTATGGTGCTGATCATCCCTGAAAATTCATTTGAAACCATGTCAGACGTCTTAGAAGTTGTGAATTTTTTCATGCCATGGCGCTACTCGAGGAAACACACACTATTGAAATCCTAGAAATAAAACAAAGAATGGAAGTCTTTCTTTAGTCAGAAAAAGGTGCCTAGATAGCTTGGGGTTTACAATTAAATTTTCTAAGAAATTTTGGACTGTCATCATAACACTGACCATGGTTAACACCTTAAGTACCTGGAATTGAGATCAACTTGCACTAGAGATTCAGATCTCTAGGAATGGGAGGGATTTCGAAAATACTATATATGATTGCCCGGCCCAATGTGCATGGATTGACAGAGTTGACAAAGAAAGAATAATTAGGAAGCAAGCTACGGCAGCCCTATAAAAATAATAAATAAATAAAACAAATAATTTAAATTACTTGTTGTTAATATCTGTTTCAGATTCATGCATGTGTCCTGAGCTTTGATGTGAAATCAACTTTTCTGTTCTTCTTAGACAATTACTTGGTGTCTATACTAAGTAATTAATCTATACTATAGAAAGCATAACAACTTTAGTGCAGTGGAAGCTCACTTAAACAAGCTTAGGCAATATATCTCTGCCACCATATATATATATATATATATCAAAATTGATTCCGATCTTTAAGCGATATATATATATATATATATATATATATATATATATATGTATATATATATATATATGTATATATATATATCAAAATTGATTCCGATCTTTAAGCGTTTCTTGGGATGGAATCATGGGAGTCAACGCCAATTTTATAGCTGTTATAATCTTGTGCTAGCTGTGAAACAAATTACATACTATTTGTGAGAAATTTCTTTCTCAAGCCTTATTTTTACAAGAAATTTTACACTACGCAAAACCTGGTACTTATCTAAGCTAATTAACACCTCAAGGGTAATCGAGCACCGAATATGTTATGCTCCTAGGTTTTTTTAAAAAAATAAAAAAAATGGCGAATTAAATGAAGTGATATAAAATCATTAAAAGAGAGCAATGAAAAAAGATGGTACCTTGAATTGTTGGCAATTTTAATTCTCATTTGGACGCAATTTCAGCCAATATTCTCCATATCAGTCTGCCAAAACTTATAGTGGCAAAACCAGGCAGGCAGGAGGGAAAGGCAACCTCTTGTTTTTTGTGAAATTGAAGAATGAATTGATAATTGATTTATTTCAATGTATAGATATATATAGCTACAGCAGAGTGCTATTCTAGGAAATAAATTATTGTTATGCTAGAATTAAGGGTGACCCATATATCATAGGATTGCAACAATTATGTTATATATAATTTTCTAATTTATGAAGATTTTATTCTTTAACACTCCCTCTCAAGTTAGAGAATGAATATTTTGAAGTTCCAACTTACCACTTAAGAATTTTAGTTGATCCTGTCCCAATGCCTTTATAAATATGTCGGCAAGCTATTTATGTGAGTGAACATGAGAAGTAGAAATGGTTCCTACTTATAACTTCTCCCTTACAATATGGCAGTCTATCTCTATATGTTTATCTCTATATGTTTAGCATGCTCATGAAACACAAGATTGGTTGCAATGTACAAAGCAACTTCATTATCACAATTTAATATTGTGGGTTTATCCTGAATGATTTTTAAATCATCCAAAATGTAGCGTAGCCATGTTATCTTTAGGCACGTGGTTGTCATTGCTCGATATTCTGTTTCTGTCATTGATTTTACAATATTTGATTGTTTCTTAGATTTCCAAGAAACAAGATAACCACCAAGAAATATGCAATACATTGTGGTAGACCTTCTCGTTGTAGGGCATCCTGCATGGTCAAAATCACAATAAGTTACTAAGTTAAGTTCTTATCTGCTAGAAAGAACAAACCTTAACTAGGTGTGCCTTTGATAAACATTAAGACCCAAAGTGCTGTATATAAGTGTGGTTTTTTAGGTTGTTGCATAAGCTGACTCAATATCTGAACAAAATACACAATGTCTGGTTGAGTGACTATGAGGTAGATTAATCTCCCAACTAATCGTCGATAATGGGTTGGATCTTCAAGTGGAACACCATCAGTAGGAGTAAGTTTCAAATGTGATTCCATGGGAAAAGAGTCTGGTTGTCCACCCAGTAGGTCTGCATCTTGTAAATTATTTAAGGCATACTTCCGTTGATATATAAAAATCCCTTGTTTTGATCGAGAAAATTCAAGCCCCAAAAAACATCTTAGATCACTAAGGTCTTTGTTGCGAAAGTGTCAAAGCAAGAATGATTTAAGACTGTTTATTTCATCCAAACTATTGCCAATAACAAGTATGTCATCAACATATATAAGAACGGTGGTGAGAAAAGTACCATTAACTCTAGTGAAAAGTGAATAATCTGTCTTGGACTGTTAGAAACCAGCTGTCTGAATGTCTGTGGAAAACTTAGAAAACAATCACGAGAGGCAACCCACCTATTGTAATAAACCACCAACTTACTCTCATCTTTGAGTTTTTGGTTGCCTTTGTTATGCTACTATTGTTCATCCTCACCATAAATTTGATTCTCGTGCTCGTCATTGCATCTTTCTTGGTTACCCTATAGGTCAAAAAAGCTACAAATTGTACGACCTCGATTTTCAACATTTTCTTATTAGTCGGGATGTTACCTTTCATGAAACCATTTTCCCCTATATTGAAAAACACTCACTGCCCTTAACACATCCAGTCATCTCTTTACCATTAGACCCACCTCATCTAGATCCATTTCCCATTAGCTCACACTCCAATCCACTACCCTCATCTAAACCCAATACCCGATCTAACATACATCACCCACATGGATCCTTCTCATTTTACCTTACACCTTCATCACCTTTCTCCTTGGCGCCTACACCTGTTCCTATTCGACAGTCCAACCGCATAAAACATCCTCTATCTTGGCTATAATATTATCACCTCTTCAATGTCGTTGTCTTCTCACGCTCTTCATCTAATTTAACGCCATCTCCTTTAGCTACGTATCACCCCTTATTTCATTTTTTATCCCTTTCTCTGTTTTCTCTTTCCTATAGAGTTTTCCTAGCTAACATTTCAAGCACAACTGAGCCCACTTCTTATACCCAAGCTGTCAAAGATCCTTACCGACGAGATACTATACAAGATGAACTTGATGCTTTGAAACAACAAAATATTTGGACCCTCATGCTGTTACCTTCTGGCCACAAACCCATTGGTTGTAAATGGGTTTACAAGATTAAATACAAATCTAATGGTACGATTGACCGCTACAAAGCTCGTCTTGTTGCTAAGGGCTATACTCATATTGAAGGCATCGACTATCAGGAAACCTTTTCTCCAATTGCTAAACTCACCACTCTTCATTACCTCCTTGCTATGGCTTCTGTCTATGGTTGGTTCATTCACCAACTTGACATCCATAATGCATTGCTTCATAGTGACTCAACTGAAGTCGTGTATATGGATCCTCCTCCTGGTCTTCGCCAACAGGGGGAGAATTTTATATGTCATCTTAACAAGTCTTTATATGGTCTGAAACAAGCCTCTCGTAACTGGTTTTCTAAGTTTTTCATAGCCATTTAGATAGTTGGTTTTCAACAGTCCAAGGCATATTATTTACTTTTTACTAGAGTTAATGGTACTTTTCTCACTGCCGTTCTTATATGTATTGATGACATATTTGTTACCGGCAACAGTTTGGATGAAATAAGTGTGGCTTATTTGTTTGTGAAGATGTTTCATAGGAGCCATTCACAAAACTAATTTTGTTCTTAGCTATAAGGGCGATAATCATGGAGCATTTCCACGTGGGATAATCGTCACCATTAAGGCGCTAAGTAACAAGCAAGAGCTCTAAATGATCCGTGGAGTGTATAAAAAAGGGATTAGAGATCTTAATGATGGAACTTTGAAAAGACTCATCATCATTGCTCATAATGAAAGCAGATAAAGAAGAAATCTGTTTCAATCAAAGAGAAAGAATACAAAAATTGCAGTAGAAAAAGACAAGCCACCATAATATAAGCTTTTATAAAATAAGATAAAGAAGAAAATTATTTCAATCAAAGAGAAAGAAGATAAAAGTTGCAGTGGAAAAAAAAAAGTCACCACAAGGTAAGCTCTGATATCATGTGAAATTGAAAAATGAATTGATAATTAATTTATTTCAATGTACAAATATATATATAGCTATAACATAGTGTTATTCTAGAAAATAAATTGTTGTTATGCTAGAATTAAGGGTAACCCATATATCATGGGATTGCAACAATTATATTATATATAATTTTCTAATTTATGAAGATTTTATTCTCTAACATTTTTTGTCTGTGAGTCTTGTATATTTGCTCCCTTGTGTACTTAGAAAGCGATTTGTACTAAAAGTTCAACCATTAACTATTGTACTGCCAAATATGTTTCACTAATTAAAAATATATGGCGGAATTAAATGCTTTAATTCCCATCTCAATTTTCTAATTAGTACGTTGCTACTTAAGAAAAATTAAACAAGCTGATTTTAATTAGGACAGGGATTAACGTGGCTAATTGCATAGGATGCTTAAAATCTGAGCTTATTCTTTTTGCAACAAAGAGATAAAAACTGTTAATTACTTCAGTTGTTTTCCCTCCTTCCATCTGACAAACTAAATCCCTATCGTGGGAGGGAAGAAATATTGACATGTTAATTATAATGGAAAATGCATGTCGGTTTTATTTTAAATATATGTAGAAAAATAAAAACATGTTTAATTAAAAAATTTATATGGGAAAATGAAAATTGACAAGTTAAGTTTATTGGAAATGTATGACACTAGTATTATTTTTTGTCAGTATTATATATATAAACATGTTTAATTAAAATATTTATACGGAAAATTGCGTATCCTTGTTTCCGTCTATGAATTGTGCCATGTTGAATATTTAGGTATTGACATTGTTAAACAAAAAGCGATTAGGTTCTTACATTTTAAATTAGGTTAATTAATTGCATTTCTTACACCAATTTCCTTCCAACTTTGTTGTTAATTAAGTTTTACTCAAAAGAGAAAACGTTGTTAAGTTAAGTTAATTAGGTAGCATCCCACGAAATATTGAACCACAAAGATTTGCAATAATTAGCATATCTATATCAACGATCGATATTCTTTTGCGTTTAAAAGTCAATTGTCGACGATTAATTAACAGAAAGGGAAGGCTTAATATGAATTATATTTTATAAGAAATCAAATATTTTTTCTTGTTGTTGTTAGGGAAGAAATCAAGACTTTAAATTCCTATTTATTTGTCATGCCGTAGTTGTTTGATAGAATATGTAATATTTTAAATTCATTATAATTTGTCTTAAGCACTACAATTATTTGATATAGAACTCATAATGTTTTAAACTCCTTAATAATTTGTCTTAATCCTTACAATAACTTCATAGAAGCCATATATGATATCTTAATTCCTCGTAAATTGTCTTCCCGTAATGCAATGGCATTATATATGTTGAAAGTTTCTTAAACAATATATTTAACTTTGCCTTTTTAGATCATATTATTTGATGAGGATAGAAAATATAAAAACAATAAAAATAAAAACAATACATCTTCTTGTACTTCATGTTTTCAAAATATAGGAATTTATTTTGAAATTATCTCGAAAACATATTTATTTTATATCTTTATTTTTAATTTTCTATTTAAATATATTTTCACCTCTTATATATTTATTCTTTATATATATACCTGCCTCATTCATCAACTAATTCTCTAAGCATAACTTGAGGTGTTTCCTTCTTCTTCTTCCTTCTTTTTTTTTTTTTGACACCTTTTCGATAGGGACTTTTGAGTGTATATCCAGTTAGCAACCATTTCTAAAATATTATGGTTGCAAGTTGTTTATGGACAAAGTAAATGAGACATCGGATTCTTACATTATATTATAAAGTACTAAAACAAATGTGCATAAGGCAAAAATATTAATGTCGATGTCTATACTCTGGATGATGCATGGAGCCATTTCCCCAAATATTAGCTCACAAGCTATCTAAAATAATACAATCAATGCATTAACACTTGAAAATATAGCCGCTCAACATTATTAGTAGCTTAAAGTTAGAGTTAATCCGTATTAAAAAAAAATTGAATCTGCCAAATTTTTATTTTTTTTTGTTTGTTTACAGCTTATCACTTTAGACATGAATAATTTACTTAATTTAATATTAAAAAACAATTTAGTTTTTATAAATTAAAGATAATATCATTACCCGAATCTCTAGTTCATGGCCAACAATATAAAAGCAATGTTTGAAGACATCACACATATAATGAGTTTTAAAACATGTATATCATAAAATAAATTATATAAAAATACGAACCATATCATAAACTTTCAAAATATCTCATTATCATATTGAAAAAAAACAAGGGTTCATAATATATATTCAAGAAACTGATAAGTAATTGAAAATAGTACAGTTTTATTCCAAATCAGAACAAATTTATTATAAAAAGTCCTACAAAAAATCTACCAAACCCCATAAGCTTTCCCAGTCAAAATCAAAACCAAAATTTAACCTCAAAAATATTACATGTTGTAAATGTAACCAAAAAGGACATATATCTTATTTCTGTAAAGTTAATACCAAATCCATGAGCTCCAAATAGATAAAGAAATCATCAACCGAATACAAAATCTATTCATTGAAGCTGCAAATACTGATCACTCTCCTTCATACACTTCTAAAGAAGAATTTTAAATTGATAAAATTGCAATTACCAGTGCTACTTCAGATACCTCTATAAATTCTATATATATATACATACTTGTTTATATTACATGTATATTAAATATTATCTTACTCACTCACAAAACAAAAACAAATGATAAATGAATGTAGAACTAAAGATTATTAAGTATTGTTAAGAGGAAATTCAGCAAAACCTACAGTGAATATGTAAAATATTCAGAAACAACTAGAAGCAAAATAATATAAAATATTAAAAATCTAACCTCAAAGACTAAAACATAATTATAACGTCGAACTAATTCACCTTATTAATCTCGAATATAATTTAAATTAATTAAATCTAATAAACCCGATTAACCTTTGCTACTGGATGAACCGGTCAACCGATATCATCAAACCAACTAGTCGGTCGATCTTGACCAACCAGTTGACTGGATAGTCAGGATTTTTAAAATCTCAGTCTACCAATCTTCCAAATTGTAGATTCCATGACAATCAATATATTCATCTCTAAAACTTATAATTTTAGTTTTAAATTGGTTTGTTTTAAGTAAAAATTATCACTTTAAACTACAATAAAAACTCTTAAATCATCCACATATCAAATTATTATATTAAACATTATAAAAATCTTAAAACACTTTTTTAATCCATCAACAATCAAACTTACAATTAAAACAATAGAAGAGGGAGTCATGATACTTGCTTGCAATCTTTTCAAAATCTAAAAACTTAAGTTTAAAGTTAAATATCTTATTGAATATGAATGAGAAAAAAGCCCCGCCAGGGAAGGAAAAGAGGAGAAAAGATAAAAATCAATTTCATGGCAAAAATTTTCTTTGAATACATAGATTATGTTGATTTCTTGAGTTTTTGGCTAAACTTAGACTTAGACTTGATGAAGTTTTACGCATAATCTCAAGAATATTAAAAAATAAATTGCATTTCATTTTATATGTTCGATCAAACCTTTTTTTATTGTTCTTGTCGTTCTAAAGTGAATTCAATTAATTTAAAGATGATGAAAGTGATATAAAAAGGAAGAAAAATAGAATTTTATTTTTTCTAAACATGTAATTTAATTTATTTATTAAATACTATAATTATATTTAATTATACGGAAAGAATTAATTCCAAACCGTATTTTAGGGACCTAGGCAAGCATGGTCAAAGGGTTTAAACTAAGACTTTCTTACGGTAAAACAAGCTGAGACGCAGGTCTAGTCGTGTTAAGAAGAAGAAAGGTCATGGTCAATATATTCCCGAGCTGTAGCCAGTTGCCCAAACTTGATAGCCCCGCAAGTTATGTAAAGCAAACAAAACAAATAATGAGTTGATAGTTTACAGAAAGTTTGCCTTATTTTTATTGACTTCGACCGCCTAGTTTGGTTTGGCGGTCAACCTAGTAACTCTTAATTTAGAGACTAAACCAATTGATTTGTTGATCGAGGAGTTGACGGGCTAGCTCGCAACCCGGAAAGGATATTTAAAGTATACTTTTTTCCATGAAATGTATAGATTTTCTTTTGCTGATTCAACTTCTATGTTCAGTTCATGGAGGCTTACAGCCTACTTGGCAAGTGGCATTCAACTCTCAAGAAAAATACCGTCAGAAAATAAATTTTGGTGAATGCAATAATTCAAGGTCGAGCGATCTGGTAAAGATCCTTCTAAACGTAAGATACCTCTTATCATCAAAATCAAAGGAACAGGTGCCGCGTGAATTCAAATACTAGATGGAGTGAGCAGAAAAGGAGAGGGAGCTGAATTTCCCTTGAATTTAGCTCAACCCCTTGCTCTACAAATTATCGAGCAGGGTGTGGCGTTTGGATCACAGCGAACCTCGTAAGAATAACAAAAATTCTAGTAAGTGTAAGTCATGGAACTACATATAATTCATTACAGACATTGAATGTGAAAAGGTACAGTATAACACAGTTGGAGACCAGTGTGATGATCAAATCATTTACTCAGGCCGCTGTATAGACTATAGCTGCAACTCCTGATGATCACCAACTAGCTTGACTCCCCAATCCAGATCCTCGCAATATTTCAAATAAGGAAACAAAGAACCGGCGTTCATCTTGGTCTTTGTTCTGCAGTCGTAAGTTGGAGGGAAATGAAAACAAGGCTCCATGGATAAGTCTCTTACACAAGAAGGATTTCGGATGTTTCCTTGCTCTATCTTGTACAGGACCCATGGTTTCAGACCCCCTAGACCTTGGGCCACATATCCAAAAGTAGACCACGCACTTGTCACCAGCACGTCACTCAAACTTAGCAGATACATTTCAGCCCATGCCTTCATGTTGTGCATATTATCCCCAAAGTGTTGAATTTCTTCGTGGCTTGGCTGGTAAACCCCTATGACTTCACCTGTCACAGTTGGTTTAGCCCAGTATGTGTTACTGATGTTTTCGTAGAACTCGGTATATAGAGATGTTACTAGAATAGCTTTCGATCTTGGGTTTTTGGATGGAGTATCTCCAGGACTTTGTGGATCAACTTGTGGCAACAATTTTTCCTTCTGTGTGCATTTTAACAATTCATCAAGAACAGTTTGAGCTGTAGTTGTTTTGGTGTTGAATACTCTAATTTGGAGGCCAATCCTCTCATCTGCTTTGGCAAGGTATGCCTGATAGAACCTGATGATTAGCCCCCATGCCTCATTTGAAGGATGGAAAAGATAGCGGCCCAAGTGATGGAAAACAGTTTCTTTCTCAGGGAACATTCTCTGTACTTCTTTATTGAAAGTTGGCGTCAAGAAGAAAGAGGGGGCAAAATATTGATCTGATAACAGAAACAACCAAGGTATCTTTCGGAGAAGAGTTGGATTTTGATCGCAATAAAAACTCAGTCTATCCAGATCATAATGAGAATGATCTAGATTCAGGAATGTATAAGACGGCAGCGATTCCATCGACTCGTTTATAATGCCATTCTTTAACTGGTTTCCGTAGCCAAGAGCATGTCTCTTGTCAGGACTGCGAAACTCAACCTCAAGGATGAAGTTCTTGGGCAGCATCCATGATGAATTTGGAAATGGCTCGCAAAATAGATCAGACATGTCATTTCCAAGTTCAACGAGTAGGACTCGATCTGTGAGGAGGGCATAAAGAAATGTGGAAGCCAAGCTTATCATCCTGTTTCCCAGACCATTAACAGGTATCCATACGAGGTAGTTACATCCTCCACTACTGCCATGGCTGGATTTGAGTCGCTTAAAGGCTTTGTTATAGGGTTTGGTGTGAGGTCCACAACGTTTATGGAGATCTTCGTACCTACGTAGTTTTGAAAGTAGATAGGAAGAGGGCTTATGGGGTGAAGTTTTGCGAAATAGGGAAGACCGGTACCTACTTAAGCAAGACCTTTCATCAAATCCAGGAGCCAGAAGTCCATCAAGCAATTTATCATCAGGCATTCTGGTACTCTGAGAGGATTCGTTTCTTGAATCTGATTCTTTCAGAAATTCAGGTGCCGAAGTTCCATTATCCTGCTTCTCGTCAGGCCTGCCGGCATTCGGCAAGGAATTATTTTTTGAACTTGCGTCATTTCCAAAGGAATCTTTTCTTGAGCTTGATTCTTTCCGAAATCCTGGAGCCAAAGTTCTGTTAAGCTGCTTCTCATCAGGCCCGCTGGTATGCGGCAAGGAATTATTTTTTGAACTAGTTCCATTGCCGAAGGAATCATTTCTCGAGCCTGATTCTTTCCGAAATCCTGGAGCCAAAGTTCTGTTAAGCTGCTTCTCATCAGTCTCGTTGGCATGCGGCAAGGAATTGTTTTTTGAACTAGTTCCATTGCCAAATCCAGGAGGCAAATGCCTATTACGCAGTCTTCCGTCAGGGATGAAGGCTGGTGGTGAAGAATCATTTTTAAAATCTGTAAACGTTGAAAGGAAAACAAAAGAATAAGCAGATCAGAACTAAATTGGAAAAATGATTAGGAAAAATCTGAATGTATCAGCACCAAGAGCACAAGTATTGGAACTCAAGCATGAATGAATGATCATGGTGTACTTGTCTTACCAACATTGATTATTGGGACATTTCCAGATTTCTCAGCCTTGGCTAATCCTCCAGTTAGATCAAATGATGGGTTCTGATACATAATCAATATCATGAAAGACACAGGCAAAGCAATGGCACACACAAGTAATAATGTTGAGTATCTCTTGGAATCAAACCCCAATTTATTCTTCACTACTTCAAAGATTTCCATGATTTCCTGTCTGAGCTTCACTTGTAATCCCCACCTGCATGCAGAAGGCGTATTTAAAACGTTTAAATGCTTGAGGATTGATGTTGGAAAATTAGCTGTTCTTGACAAGAACTGTAAATAAGGAGGCTCAAAAATCAAACTTCCTAAGAGTTAGTACAGGAACAAGAACATGGGTCCCTTGATATAATTCTTTCTTGGCAAACAAAAAGTCTGAAAACCGCAGGTTATGGTGGTGACTGCATGTGCGTATCGATCAAGTTCTAGACTAGGAACTTGACTTCAAGGTTTTTCAACATCCTTCACATGTGATGATTCATATACTTTTAGGTGGCGGCGTAGCTAGTAGACTTTTAGCATGAAGAAATCAATCACAGTCTTGGTCAGATTCTCTTCTCCACAAGAACACGCCATGAAAAGAAAATGGAAAATAAAGGAAGTGTTTATGCAGAGATGGAAAATCACAAAATAAATCAATTGTGCTCAACATGGGAAATTTTGAGACATGAAATCATTTAATTTGCTAACAAAGCACAAGAACTTATTGAAATATTTCGTACTCAGTTCTTTTAATTAATAAAAAAATAAACTAAATTTTTCAAAAAAAAAGAAGTTATTGAAAGAAAAAAAAAGGGCACTGCAAAGTAAAAAAATATATATATAATCCTTCAGAATTTGGTGAAAAAAATGATCTAAAAATTAAAATTAAAGAACACATGCAATGAAGAAAAATCTATTTTGTACCACCCGTTAGAAAATCGAATTTATGAAAAAAAAAAAAAAAACTCTCAGCCTCTCACCTTTGTTCTTAATCTTTGAACAATCCAGCACAATTGTTTTCTTTGAAAAATTACAGAGCCATATAGGACTAAAACGAGGGCCTGATATAGTTGTCCATAAAGTAAAATCTGGGAAATTTTATCTATTTAAGGAACTGAAAACAAAACTTCCTAATTAAAAATTTCTTGCCTTCAATTTCTTTCTCTGGTTTGTCTGTTTAATGGTGTCAGCAAATCAATTCAATTAATTCAAGAAATCCCTTCCTTAAATAGAATTTAAGCTAATAGATACCTGATCCCACAGGTAACTTATAGATTGACAAGGGAACAAAAATTTCCCAGAAAAGGGATTTATATACTCAGTTTCTCTTACATTTGCAGAATAATATGTAATTCATTGTTTTAAAATATGCAGCTGCTTTCTCAAATTATTTTTAAAGAAAATATTGAGAAGCTATAAAAAAATAATCAAAAACAATAGAAGATCAAAATTAAAAAAAAAAACCGATGGGGC